CTAAACCCTATAGAAAATCTTTGGAGGGAGCTCAAACTCCGTGTTTTGCAGCGACAGCCCATAAACCTGGCTGATCTAGAGAAGATCTGTGTGGAGGAATGGGCCAAAACCCTGCAGTGTGTGCAAATCTGAAGTAAAAACTACAGGAAACCTTTGGCCTCTGTAATTGCAAACAAAGTGATAGTCTCATGGTTCTGTTCAAACCGCAGAGAGCATCATGAAGACCAAGGAACACACCAGGCAGGTCCGAGATACTGTTTTGGAGAAGTTTAAAGCCGGATTTGGATACAAAAAGATTTCCCAAGCTTTAAACATCCCAAGGAGCACTGTACAAGCAATCATATTGAAATGGAAGAAGTATCAGACCACTGCAAATCTACAAAGACCCGGCCGTCCCTCTAAACTTTCATCTCGAACAAGGAGAAAACTGATCAGAGATGCAGCCAAGAGGCCCATGTTCACTCTGGATGAACTGCAGAGATATACAGCTGAGGTGGGAGAGTCTGTCCATAGGACAACAATCAGTTGTACACTGCACAAATCTGGCCTTTATGGAAGAGTGGCAAGAAGAAAGCCATTTCTCAAAGATATCCATAAAAAGTGTTGTTTAAAGTTTGCCACAAGCACCTGAGAGACACACCAAACATGTGAAAGAAGGTGCTCTGGTCAGATGAAACCAAAATCGAACTGTTTGGCCACAAAGCAAAATGATATGTTTGGCGTAAAAGCAACACAGCTCATCACCCTGAACACACCATCCCCACTGTCAAACATGGTGGTGGCAGCATCATGATTTGGGCCTGCTTTTTGTCAGCAGGGACAGGGAAGATGGTCAGAATTGATGGGAAGATGGATGGGGCCAAATACAGGACCATTCTGGAAGAAAACCTGTTTGAGTCTGCAAGAGACCTGAGACTGGGGCGGAGATTTATCTTCCAACAAGACAATGATCCAAAACATAAAGCCAAATCTACAATGGAATGGTTCACAAATAAACGTATCCAGGTGTTGGAATGGCCAAGTCAAAGTCCAGACCTGAATCCAATCGAGAATCTGTGAAAAGAGCTGAAGACTGCTGTTCACAAACGCTCTCCATCCAACCTCACTGAGCTCTCGATGTGCAAAACTGATAGACATACCCCCAGCGACTTGCAGCTGTAATTGCAGCAAAAGGCGGCGCTACAAAGTATTAAGGCAAGGGGCCAAATAATATTGCACGCCCCACTTTCCAGTTTATTTGTTAAAAAAAAGTTTTACACATCCAATAAATTTCATTCCACTTCACGATTGTGTCCCACTTGTTGTTGATACATCACAAAAAAATTAAAATTTTATATATTTATGTTTGAAGCCTGAAATGTGACAAAAGTTTGAAAAGTTCATGTGGGCCGAATACTTTCGCAATGCACTGTATATGGATATTTTTTCTTTCCATAAAGTAATAACAAAAATATATTTCTGAGTCAAAGCTTTGTCCCAGTTGTCACACAGGCACATTAACAGCTATAACTGTATAAAATAAATGTCTAAAAAATAAAATATTTACATATATTAAAGTTTGTTTTTAGACCTTTTTTTAACATATATTAAATAATAATCCTCCCCAGCTGCACCGACTTTACTATGTTAGTAAGCGTGTGTGAATTGTGACAGTGAGAGCGAGGGAGGAGGGGGAGGCTGCATGAAGTTGGCTGCGCAGACTGACAGAAAAAGAACTACTGTCCACAGACTTTCAAGTCTTATGGTGAGAGGAGGTAGCGCCACATTAATAAAACAGCTTCTTATCATATCGCTAAAGATCCAGTCCTTAGCGGCTAACAGCCATCTTGTTAGCCGCTAAGGATCATGTCTTTAGCGATATAAAACGCTGTTTTATTCACAATCACCTCTCATAAGGAACAACACAGGTAGAAGAGTTTCGTACCGTACTTTCTCAGGGAAGGAAGCTTCACAGCCGGCAATGCAGCACCAAGTCTAACACACGCTTCATACTCCACTTATAGTGCGGTTTTAAATGGTGAAAAAGTTTCGGTGTGCTCAAACATTTTCGTCGAGACTTATTTTCAGCATTTTTCTGTTGCACATTCGACAAATTAAATCTGAACCATCTCCAAAGAACAGAGCCATTATTTATTTTCTGCTCACCAGTTCTGCGACTTGGCTCTCTTGCCATTTTGTGACTAATTGTGGCTGCTACGTGCCACAGGCAGCCGCATTACCTGGACAGAAACAGGAAGAAGGGGGAGAGTGCACGGGTAGGGGCCGAGTTTGCAGTGAGTGAGAGGAGGGGGGCCATGTGGGAGAAGAAAGAACAGCAGAGCAGGGGTATTTTCAAATAGAACTATATCGTTTATATCGAAATATTGCATATATATAT